ATGGCCAAGGTGTCAGGTGCATGTAAAAGTTTATCCCTGATTTGTCTTCCTTTGGTCTGATGCCATTGGAATGTCAAAGCACTCTACAATCGGTTCCTCTAATTTAGCCACTAGGCGCTTGATCCACTGTTCAGCGATGTCAATGGGTGTCTTTCTATTGAGTGCAATGAGCGTTGAGTCAGGCTCTAGTTTACTACTAGACTGGCTTTCAAATGTCCAATTCTGGACTAATTTTCAGTTTGGCTAGATGTGCATATGTATCTTTGAAAATAAATATCATCCGTGCGCACTGTGCCCACAAGCTCCTGTGCGCACTGTGCCCACAAGCTCCAGTATGCACATGAACAAGAAAATTTTTGTCAGTTCATGGCCAAACTCTGCTCCTACAATGGAATAAATCTGCAGTAACTAATGTGAAATTACTGAGGTCTGAGTGAGAAGAGAATCAGAACTAATGCTGTTACTTTAGCAGTTACCAACTCTCACAATTTCATCAAAGGTGATTATTCCTTTTTTCCCAGAAAGCTTGAGCTCTTGGAGTCATGTGATTATATGAACAATCTCAGCTTTTATTACAAAAAACAAGTAAATTTATAGCCCTCCTGGTTACAGAGGAAAGCTAAAGGAGGGGATCCTCAGGGCTCAAAAACTAGAATGCAAATCCATTTTATCATTTTTTTAACATCTCATGATTTTTGGGCCAGTATTCTCTTCTTGGGGGCCAGACTTCTGATCTTTCGATGTTTCAGGCTGACAATCTTGCTTTAGGTTTACACCAGTGATAGAACATAATCTGGCTTTATTTTGTAAGATTTTCAATTGTACCATTCCTGTCTGAGCAAATTGTATAAATGAAAAGTAACACTTTTGCTAAGGCTTTCTCTTGACTTTTTTTTTTTTTTTTTTTTTAAATCCAGCTTTGGTGACTACACTAATGCGTGAGGGCCTGTTGTTTGCATATACTTACCCACTGATGACAGCTTAATAAGCTCCTTTATTTTGTGTTTTTATTCAGTAAGCTTGTCAGCTTTTGTGCGCAGTCTGACCTCTGCTCCCCACCACCCCCTTTCTTGTCTGAAAGGGGCACCTCTGTCTCTATAATTTGTAATAAAAGGCAATTCTAAAGGGATGTGAACTGACTGGCAGTACAGACATGAAATCTTACAAAAGAATATAACTTTCTCAGGGGCTGACCCTGTATTCTTTAGGCATCTAAAACTCCTGCTGAAGTCAGTGGGAGCTTTAGGTGCATAAGGAATACAGTCTTTGATTGAGAAAATCTAAACAGTTAGTGAAGAACTCAGTAACAGACCTGCTCTACAGGGATTATTATGCACAATGTGATAACAGTTCAAAATTTCATATCCAGCTTATATTTTCCTAAGGAAAAAGAAAAGCATCCTAAAATAGTAACTGTTTATAGATTCTATACAAAATTATGTATTTGTAGTATTTCAATGTAATGGCTTGACATATCAGACAATATTCATTGGATAATATTACTTTCCATACATTTAACTGAAACCATGCCATACTGGGGTATGAAAAAATAATATATTTGGAAAATCTAATATGTAACTAGATGATAGTAAAAATGCTATCCCTACAAAGAGAATTTCGTTTGCTGAAGTTCCTGATTCACTCTGCTTGCTCTACTTTTATATCTTTCCCATTTGGATAATCTTTTGCCTCCAGTTTCATTCAAATTGTCTGTGTGGTTATTTTTCCAAGTGCAGGTGGTTGATCCAAATATGTATGTATACAAATTAATTACTTTATTATTGGTAGTGAAAATGACATTGTCCTCTTTGGGACCTTTACAAACTAGATTGGACAAAAACCAAGAAAGTATACTTTGGGAAACAACCTTGCATTGACAGGAAGAAGGGCAAGATGATCTAATGAGCTAAATTTTTAAAGGAAAATACACGTACATCTGTATTCTGTGTGGTCATGCACATATAAATGGCCATTTTGGATACCTAATTATTTGTTTGCATCAGGATGTAGCTACTTTTTAATTTTTCAGTCACCACAATTGTACTCACAAATGTGGCTGTGTATTGCATTTGCATTTTTGCATTAGATCTCAGGCCTTCATTTAAAATATATTGAAATGTAGCCCAATATCTCCTTTCCATCTATGATTGCCATATTCCAATGATTCTATATAACAAAACAGCAATTCCATAGCTAGAAATGTTTTACATAAATAATAGTGATAAAGAAGAGCTTAAGCCAGATGATCTATTTCTTTAGTTAGAATTATGTGTGATGAAGAAAAATATCAAATATTTTTAAATGTATTTAACTATGGACTTAATTAAGTTAAATGGACTTATGGAAGAAAATTTCCCATTGCGATTTGAAGAGAGTTTCTTGTGGAAGGAAAATTGGATTTGGCCCTTTAAGCTTTCATAGCAACTTGAAGCAACTAATTAGGCTCTGGAACAGCAGAGTCTGTACTAAATATAAACATCAGTCAGGAATGATTTTTGCAGGACTGCAATTGGATTCTAAATGGAGATAATTCAATTCAGTGCCACCCAACCCCCGAGGACAATTATTATGACAATTGGAACCCGTACTTTAAGATTTATCACTTACATAAGTATTCTGAATTTATTCTTATTAAATATATATTTTAATTAAAATAAATTCAGAATCTTTTAACATGCATATACATATGCTATAAAGAAACTTTGTCTTAATTAAAATTACTTTGTTTTTATTGCACTCTTTCAGAGGGCTTGAATGGCTAATGAAGACCGATGTCCTTGTCATTCATTATTGCTCTAAATTGACATTTATTGTAGAATTGACATTTTTCATTACATTTGTCTTCTAAATCTCACTTCTGTTTTATTAGTTTTTTCCACTGGACAATACAATTTTATAAATCCCCTCTGTGATTCTATAGAACTAGACTTTAGAAGGATATAGACCCTCTTATTAGGCTCTGACACCAGAAATTAACATATTAAATATAATGGGCCCAATCTTACACTGTTAGTCCCCATCCATACGAAGGCTAAACTTTGTGAGGACTGCAGTATCAGGCATATATATATATATATATATATATATATATAAAATTCACAGGCAAGTCCAGTAGCATTCTAGCAAAGATGCATATTCTATAAAATATTTTAATTCTCTTTATATGTGTTCCTTTTGGTTTGTAATGGTAATAATTGTGCTGATGTGTTCTTCTAAGATAGTTTGTGTCATGCTAAGTTTTTACTACTATACCTATATCAGAAACATGCTTCCATAAAAAATTGTGTCACAGATATTAAGGGACAATCCCTGTATCTAGTCCAAGAAGTCCTAGGTTAATGTGTATTATTAAAACTATGGTGTATCCCTATTTAAATCCCATGTGTCTCTAGTGCAGAAATACCTGCCACAAGTACATCTCTCATGCCAAAATATCTGTTGTATGTTTTTAAAATAAACTATTCTAGCTTCCATTTTGTTCGATGTACATGTTTTTTACCAGTTGTTTTGAAGTACAATGCTATTCTTTCACTGAAAGGAGTAATTGCTTCACTTACGTTTTTGAAATATTTTCCTTCCTTTAAACATGGACAATGATAGAGCTAAGGGAATGATTCATCACAAATAATTTGCTTACTGAATTTAACCTCTTTTTCTGCTTGTTAAATGTTTGTGAGCATATTGCACAAATTTGCTTGCCATTCAGAGTAGTGAGTGAATTTGTTTGCATTGTTTTTTCCATTGTTAGTTGATTGAGAACATTTAATTGCTCTGGCTATTCAAATGTTGCTTAGTCATGATCGATCACATAACACACAAGGTATTGTTTCTGAACCCAGAATGGCTGAGCATAGTTCTTACAGGATCTGATTCAAAGCACACTGATGTCAATACAAAGACTCCCATTGACTTCAATGAGCTTTCGATGATGTCCATAATCAGGAGACGAATGGGTTTGAAGAAGCCATGGTGTTTTTGAGTCTCTTAGGGATGGGGAGGAGATGAGTAGGATCAGGGGATTTTTAACTTTTTACATCATGCCAGCTCTTCTACCATAAGACTTATTTGGCTGGGGGTAGAGTGTAAAATTGTCCCTGTCTCAGAGTCTGTAATCAGATCTTTGTTCAGCTCATTTAACTGCCTCTCTGCCAAGGCTTTGGCAAGGAGTTTCTAAAAGCCTGTCTCCTGGCTGTGTCAAACAGTCCCCATCCCATCTGAAATAAGTCACTTCAAGCACAGGCTTAAAATGTTGTTACTATGAAAGTGTCTGTGCAAGTAAAAACTGATCACTCAAGTGACTTTTGGAAAGCAAACACAAAGCTGGAGCATGGCTGAACGGCATTTATTTAAAAATATTTTTGCAGTATTCACCCCTCTCTAACATTATTGCACATGTAACTTCAACAAGTATTATCAGAAGCATTTTCTGCATTGGAAAGGATATGCCTTGACATTTGCAACGGCTTTTCAAAGTTCATTATAAAGATATAGTTGAACCCTCTGTGGCATTTAAATACAAATAGACACTCAGTGCACTAGCAATAGTATTGCAAAAAATCTTGATCTTTAAATGAGATTTTTCTAATGCTTATTTTTAAGCACAGAATTATTATGATTATGCCAGATAACACATATACTAAAATGAATTCCCTCTGGTAAGTCTCCATATCTACACATATACATATTTTTCCATATAAGTTTCTTGATAAGGGTCTTGATTATAAAAGCCTACCCCGAAGGATAGGCAAATACTGCATACCCAGCCACCCAGAGTCTGCACTGGGCAACTTAAGAGTTTCAATAATGGGCTTCAACAGGACCTCTCCTCAGATGGAAGGATACAAAGCTGCGACATGGGGCCTTAAGGGCAGCGTCCTAAAACATATAGGATTCAAATGTCCCAGGAGGATGCAGGAGACTGTTTCCCACATCCATGGAGAAAAGAAGAGCATGCCAAGAAGTATTATACTAATCTCTCTCCCTTTGTGTACTTTTTTCAGCTCTATGGCTACTGTTATCAGGATAGCAATGACATCCCAGACACGCTGACTGCCATCACTGAGCTAGGCTCACCACTGGAGATGATTCAGCTTTTACAGACCTCTTGGGAGGACCGATTTCGAGTAAGTACAACAACCAGGGTATCAAAAGGACTTTTAAGTAGCATGCGAACACACAACTCCAAGCATGTGAGAGAAAAAAAAAAAAGAGGTTACATAATTTACAGCTTTGTTCACATTTATTAAACAACTGCTTTGCTTGGGAATGTTAAGACTTAGTTTGTCTGTAAGATGTAACACTCCCATTTTTCAGTTTTTAAGACACTGCGCTATTATGTGTGTTGATGGTATCTAATTATAGGCTGTTCTGTGCTATTCACATAATATCTTCAAAGGTTTCATACTTGTTAAAAACTCAGAGCTTGGCATTTTTGAACATTATGCTCTACAACTGGAATTCAAACAATAGAAGGATGTGACATCTCTGTCTTGATCATTATCACAAGCTGATTTTATAATTGTTTCCTACTGTTTCCTGTTATGTTGCCTTTTACTAGGGGAGAGTAAAGGGTAAAGCAAAGTTTATCAATGTACACAGATCCTAAAACAGAGTTTGCTCAATGAAGCCCACATTGGCAATTTAACAGAAACATGGAGGTCACACTTAATTTGTATGGAATGGAACCCAGACTGTAGAGGTACTTTCATCATGATAGGGTATGCTGAGCTGTAGTCTCGGTGGGATGTACCTCACTATTAAAGATTAGGGCTGTTACAGGCTTCACTTAGAGCTCTGTGAACTGCATTTGGCCCATAAATTGAACTTCCACTACATTGTCCTAATGATGACTCAATCAGAGTTTTTAGCTTGTAATGGCCAATGAAGTGTACTGCTATCTCCCTCACACCTCACCCATGCAACCACAAATTATGGCACTGTGATGTAAACTGCAAAAGAGGCAGTAGATTATTGGCTTGACCATATTACATAGGATGTGGGTGGAAATTCTCTTTAGAATGGGTATCCCTTACAGGGCAGTTAGAGGGAGATGAAGGAGAAATACCTTGGCAATGTTGGTTTGAGTCATAGAGATGTAATTATAAATAGACTATTCCTGGAACTGCTGTAATGAAGCCTTAGGCAATGTCATAACTATTACCTTATCTAGTGTGCAGCTGTCATAGAGGAGAGGAAAAAGGATGCAAGTTCTCAGCTCAATACATGAGAATTGTTTATGTATCTGCCCCAGTTAAGAAAACATTAACATGGTTGTTTAACTTTATACAGTTAAGTAGTGCCTTTGTGCTTACAGGACAAGGACCAAATCTCCCCAAACCTATTGAAATCAGTGGAAAGCAGTGGTGCAGACCTGAGCCCTAAAATGTGTATTTTAATCTTGTTGTGAGGGATATACACACACAGCCCGTATCAACACTGAGGGCTGGCACATAGATAAAGGACTTCAACAGGGCTCAGTACAGGCACAAGGGTCTGTGTCAGTGGATCCATTTGCAGGATCAGGGCCTTGGTAGTGTTTGAGGAAAGAGGAATGATTTCAGATTGCAAACAAAAATCCCTCTTTAGTTTTTTGCAAAATTTTTATACTTTTATGCAGAGTTTTCCGTAGTAGTTTAAGAAATCTGTGAAAAGTGATTCCCCCCCCCCTATATTTACCTTTGAGCAGTTAAAGATGTTAATTATAATTTTGTTCAAGCTTCTGGTAACGATTTTAGCACAGTGTTCAGCTCCTATAATGAGGTTCTGTGCAGTACTCCTGACCCAAGGAAAAAAATCACATTGACATTCTGAATGTTAAATGCTTCAATTTGGTCTACTTTCATTTCCTCAGCAACACGATATGCCTTTTATATATAGCATCCTCTGGGACGCTGTATAGAAGATTTCTGTAAATTTCAAGAGGAACAAAAGAGCAGTCAGTGCAGACATCCCATAACCATGCTTGTATTAATTTATACCTACAAGTATCTCTACATAAACTTTTGATATTGCTTAAGTGGAACAAAAATGTTTTAGGCTGGTAAGGCAGGGGAAATGATTACAGAAGTGTTGGATAGTCCTAATATCTCACAGACATAAAGTCTGTGAAGTATAACGTAAGCCATATTCAACCTCTATTTTCTTCTGAAGTATGCATTTAAGTATTTCCCTGAGTATATCATTTATGTCCTGAGACTGAACTGTGATTTGACTACTTTAATACATATGGTCTTAACAACAGTTTTAACAAAAAACTAGGGTGACCAGATGTCCCGATTTTATAGGGACAGTCCCGATATTTGGGGCTTTTTCTTATATAGATTCCTATTACCCCCAACCCCGTCCCAATTTTTCACACTTGCTGTCTGGTCACCCTACAAAAAACAAAGCTTACATGTAAACAATAAAAAGCTTTCTAGCTTGCATAAGACATATCGTTAATTGAATACAGTGAATGAGCATGCAAATATTTAACTGCATGCATATTAATATTGTTTTTGTTTTAGTGTGTTATACAATACATACAAAGAAATATTGTCAAGGCATCACATAAATGAACTGCAAACAGTAGTAAACACTATAGGGTTGGGTCCAAATTTGAAGGTTCCAAATATTATTCTCTTCTATCTATTAGCAAAGCCAGATAATTCTTCACTCTATGGCCCCAATCTGATGCACATGTGCGGAGCTCCATTAACTTGAATGGGATTCTGTGTGGACATCAGAGTCTGTCTACATCGATAGGCCCTGATCCCACAAAGACTTAGCTTTATGCACTGTGAATAGTTCCACTGAAGTCAAACTATTCTCAGTGTGAAAAGTTAAGTACGTGTCAGCTTTTAGAAGATAAGAGACTTAGATTGCAGGATCAGGGCCTACGTGTGATGTTTTATTTTAAAAAATGCTTTTATTTCTATTAAAATAATAAAAGCAAAACAAGAAAGCCTCAGCAGCTCAGAACTCATGAGCAACTCTACAATAATAAAATTGCATAGGGGAAAAATTGGTAAAGAAGCACGTTTTAGTTTCAAGCTTCTAAAGATTATTATAATTTACATTGAAAGAATAATGTTAAATTTTATGAAGAATACTTTGAATGTATTAACTTTGGCATTAAATTGATCATAAAAATCAATCTTTGGTCATTATTATGTGTGTGACTTAATTTAAAGCAGATGCATTTTTTTTACATGCTCCATACTAGACAAGTAACACAGGGTATCTGTGCTTTTATATTTCAGATATGTCTCAGCTTAGTTCGGCTTTTGCATTATTTGGCTCACTCTCCGCTTGGCTCCGTGACACTGTTGGATTTTCGCCCTCGACAGTTTGTGATTGTAGATGGAGAGCTGAAAGTGACAGATTTGGATGATGCCAGCATAGAAGAAAGCTCTTGTACCAGTAACCGTGACTGTTTTATAGAGTTTCCAGCAAAAAATTTCACTCTTCCCTGCTCTGTGGAGGGCCGATGTCGAAATATGAATGAAAAGAGGAATCTTTACAATGCATACAGGTAGATGACCAGTTATCTAAGTAGATAAAGTGAATAAAATTTGACAAGAATTCTGTATAGTCATTTATAGCCATTGAGATCAATGGAAATGTTGGATCGGGCCCTTATAGACTAATAACTAAAACAATGAATAATTTGTGTTGTAAATATTTCATTAATAATAATACATAACATTAATATCTTGGAAGTACTTTGCAAACATTGGGTCTGATTCACCACTAAAGTCTATGTTGGTATAACTCGATTGAAGTCTGTTACACAGTAAAGATTTATAGCAGTGAAAAACTGGGGTAATCTTATGGTGTTTGGGCACAATTGCTACATTATTAATGAAATGATTCACACAACACATCTATGATGTCGATTAATAAGTGTTATCATCCCCTTTTAAGTATGAGTCAACTGAGGCTGAGAAGTGAAGTGACCTCAGAGCTGGGATTAGAATTCAGACAGTTCTGTCTTCTAGTTCTGTGCTCTGACCGCTAACCCATACACCTCTCTCATTAGACCAGGCCTCTTTCCTGCTGATTATAAAACTCGCTGGTTCAGTTGTTTGAAAGTCAAAAACCTGTAATGTCATTGTACTTCTTTAACGTAGACCGCTGATAATCTGGAGAGTAATCTCCCAGGGGTTATAATGAATCTTAACATTTTTTAAAAGCCATCACTGCTTTGTAATTCTCGCCTTACAATTTACCCCAGGCTTCCTCACACCAACAAACCAATTGCTGTTCTTTGAATAGGCAGTGATTTGCCTGCTTCTTGCACTACGCCCATCCATCCTCCAGTGCCTCCCCATTGAGGTCTGCATCCATAATTTATGGTCGTGCCATGCACATGACAGATAGGTAATTGGGTTATTATGTCTGGCCAATAACACTGAAGAAAGTGTCTAGCTGAAATGTGTTTCTTAGAATTTTGTTTCTTAAGGTCTCTTCAGATTTACAACTGAGGAGTTTTACATGAGGGATTTATGTTTGTGGTCTTGGCTCTTCACTAACTCTGATCACTCAACTCACTCTTTGGGCCAAACACTGATCCCATGGAAACTTTACTATTGGCTTTCACAGGATCAAGAATTGATCCTTAATGCACTGCTTCTAATTGTGCTGTGGCTTGATGTTCAAGTGCGCTGGAGAGACAGAGTGATGCGGACTGATCCAGATAGGACGGTAGAGGGTCTCAAGGCAATGCCATAATGGTGTGCTCCTTTCTTAGGCTTCTCTTTCAAGTATCACACCACTCATTCCCTGCCAGGCCACAACTGGAAGAGTCTTCTCTAGGGAGAGTCTTCTGCTTTTGTCCCAATGCACTTACCAGCATATGTGTAACATTATCTGACCACATTGAAATGTATTCCACTACATGACTGTCATGTGCATTTGCACAGTGCAATTTTTAGTGTGTTCTGCAAAATTTTCCGTTTGCTTGGGTTAAAGATCCTTCTTAGTGAATTAGTTTTTGATTAGGGCCATTTTGCTGGTCTGGCCAGAAAAAAACATTTAATATTTAAGTGTGATTTTAGCCATACACTATCATACGCTCACTGAAGAAAGCTGTCTTTTTCTGTCACAGTGGTTAAGATTTGTGAGAGTGCTATTGAACAATTCCAGCAGTTCTCAAACTGTGGGTCGGGACCCCAAAGTGGGTCACGACCCCGTTTTAATGGGGTCGCCAAGGGCTGGCATTTGCTTGCTGGGGGCTTTGGCTTTGGCCCCCTGCCCAGGCTGGCAGGGCTTGGGTAGGCTCAGGCTTTGGTACCCCCTCCTGGGGTTGTGTAACAATTTTTGTTGTCAGAAGTGGATTGCGGTGCAATGAAGTTTGAGAATCCCTGAACTATTCCATCAGCTCATCAGTTTCTAAAGATCTGTTTTTACACTTTGAAAATCCTAGTGCTTTTAGCACCCACTATTGCTTATTATTATGCTCACATAATAGGTCTTTGTATGACAGCAGACCTACACCATGGTAGGCTGCAGCCGCCCTTATGAATGCATCTCCAACAATCTCTATATGCTCACTCAGCAAGGACAAAACTACAATCTACTTGGTATAGACGACTAGGTTTTCCAGTTCCCAGATCCCCATGTATAGGGACACTGTGATGGCAGGTGACTGGCAGTACTACTTTTTGAAGCTTGGAAAAAGGGTTTCTTGTCCATATCTGGGGCTACTTGGTAGTCCCAACCTACAGCACATTAACCAATGGTATAAATCTTCAGTAGTGTCTGAATTTATTAAAGCCACCCATGAGAAACATCACTGGGCCAGTCCCCTGGTTCCTTCTCAAGGTGGATTATTAGAGCTGAGCAAATATTACAAAAAAATTGTTGTGCAAGTATTGGCTTGGATGTTTAAATGATTTGCTTCAGTCACACATGCATCCTTTTGTGTACCCTCAAGATGCACACTTTTAACAGTGAGGGTAATGAACCATTGGAACAATTTACCAATAGGTTTGGTGAATTCTTCATTTACTGAACATTTTAAAAACAATATGGGATCTTTTTGTAGATGAGATGGTCTCGTTCAAAAAGGAATTATATTCAAAGAAGTTCTGTGGCCTGTGTAATGCAGGAGGTCAGACTACTAGAAGCCCACAGTGGTCCCTTCTGGCCTTATAATCTACAAATCATGAATGCAGAGACATCGCATAATTATTGGTAGTGGGGGGAGGGCACAATTTGAAGGTTCTTCTGGTGCTATACAGTGGGACTCAAGGCAGGGCATATAAACCCTGGCAGAAATCGGGGGGGGGGGGGCGGCATGTGACTCTGCATCCTCCCCCCTGCCCCCCCCGCCGCCCCAAGGTGCTTCTGCATGAATGTTCCAGTTTGAAAAAACAACAAGGAGTCCTTGTGGCACCTTAGAGACTAACAAATGTATTTGGGTATAAGCTTTCGTGGGCTAAAACCTACTTCATTAGATGCATCAGTGCCAGTTTGAGTTTCACTGGCACTGATGTCGATGCACTTCAAAGTCACATGTATGAGTACCGATGGACATGTGTGAATGTTCATATCAAAATGTTTGCATACTCATTCAATTGAGGATCAGAAACAATACTATGTGACTTTTCTGTCCAATTGTAACTATCCAACCCAGTCTGAAAAGCAAACTGTGACCTTCAAATACTTTCAAAGAGCTGCTGGTGATCAGTCGCAATCCACTTATGGATTTTCCAGGTGCAGAAAATTTACCAGATGAATTCTTCATTGCTAATGATTTGCTTACCTTTAAAACACTATATGTATTTAGAGTGGTGCTTTTTATATAAAACACTAAGACATCTTTTATAATAATCTTATTTGGGGATTTTGTAAGTATCCTTTTTAGAAGGGATGAATTTTACTCTTGTTTAAAAAAACGTTAACATCTTCAGGAAATATTAATTGTATAAAGTGGAAGTATGTCAGCTGAATAGGCCACAATACTGGCTCCCGTAGCTGACATTTTCCAATCAATAACTTGATTTTTTTTTTAATTATGCTTATGTGAAACCTGCTTTATTCTCTCCAATGAATATGATTCACTACAGTTTCTCTGGCCGTGTGGGGAAGCTGTACTTTATAGGATGGACAAGGCAACTCTCTCAGTAAAATTTCCTATTTGTGTTACCATTCTGCTCATTACCTAATATTTATGTCTGATACTTTTGTTTATATTACCAGCTCCTGAACTGTCCATCTTTATCTAATGTTCCCTCTGCAACAGGGTTTGTAGAGTTTAGTAATACTGGCTTAGCAATAGAAATTTAAAGGGGCACTGTGAAATTCCTTCTACCTTTAAATAATAATAGAGAAGTGAAATCAGCATACCTTTAATTACCAAAAAAAAAAAAATTATTGCTGTGCCTGCTTTTCCAAATCCTAGATGTGGTTTTTGTGAAGCCATCACCATTTAACCTGCATTACCAGTTAAATGTTCACATTTCAGTGTCATCAGGCACTGAGCACAGGGCAAGAGCCTTCACCACCAGATGCTTGTTTCAAGCTTGTGAGAAATTAGGCTGGAAATTGTAGAACCTGCTTTACTTTTTGTTTCCTTCATTTTACAGCAGTTTCCTCCCTAGGAAAAGCAACACAAACTACCTGAATCCCTAGCAGGTTTTTTTTTTTTTAGTAGAGAATGTGTATTCAAACATGGAGTCCATTCAGGAACATCACGAATGCATGTTAATGATGACCCCACCATGGGAATATTGAAGATGGCCTGAATTTTGGTGGCGTAGAATGATTCCCCCCCCCCCCCAACATTCATCTTAAAGCCTAAAAATAATGCAGAACTGAAAAGGAAATAATTGGTGAAATGAAATAAGCATAAATCTGACCTGTATTTTTAAGGTTTTGAGGAAAAAAAACAAGACTTCAGAGTTTGACAGTGTCCCTTTAATAAAGTTTGTCCAAGTACAGACAGCTTTGCAAATAGTCACAATCCATAGGGCTTCACAGCAAATTTCTATGTTAATGGAACATTTACAGGTAGTTACAAGGCAGCCTTGTGTATAGCAGCTTAGTCTAGGTATGCCAGACAGCTGTGTGACTAGCCTCCGCTATGTATTTATTTGATTATAGAATATGATTATATTTCCTGAATAGGTCAGGGACTTAAGGAATAAAATTCTAATAGTTTATGTTGTTCAGTGGTTACTAGACCCTTGCCAACTTTATTTTAAAATATGGGTTACTTTTCCATTGCAGGTTTTTTTTTACATATCTTCTGCCACACAGTGCTCCATCCTCCTTAAGACCATTATTGGATATGATAGTCAATGCGACAGGTAATCCCACTGTAAATATGTGATACTGCCAAATGTCTCCCTTTTTCATATCACTGTAAACTTGAGTGTTTGTTTGGGGGTAGATGGGGGGAAGGGTGCTACATTTACATTTATTGCTTTAAGGCCAGATTCTGCTCTCACTTAGGGCATGTCTACAGTGCAGCTGGAGGTGTAAGTTCCAGCCTGGGGAGATGTACCCATGCTAGCTTTGATCGAGTGAGCATGCTGAAAATTGCAGTGTAGCTGTGGTGGATGGGCTAGCCACCGGAGCATCTACCTAGTATCTCTGATGGGATTGTACTTGGGTGGCTAGCCTGAGTCGCTGCTCATGCCACTTTGGCTACACTGCTATTTTTAGGTGCTAGTTTGGGCAGAGCTAGCACATGCATGTCTACCTGATCTGGGAATTACACCTCCAGGTGGAGTGTAGACGTGCCCTTAGAATTAAATTCACTCCTGATCAGAGGAGCTAAGATGAGGCCTATATACCATTTAACTCTCTATTTTGAGGTCTTAAGTGGTATTTAAGTAGTATGAGCCTTGTCCTGGGCCCAGCACAGGGATGAATTCCACCCTTACATAGGTGCAGTTCCCACTGCAAGTCAATGGCAGTTTGACCAGAGCAGTATTTGACTCAGAATTTGGTCTCCTCTGCATGCAGATCTCAGGAGGAACAAGCCAACCCACAGAGTGAAATTCATCCTGACCAAAGGGCTCATGCACAGCCCTCTGCAAAATGTTAGTCCCATGTTAAGGGATTCATTGGTGTGGAGGACCTTGAATGGGCCATCTCTACCGAGAGGAATTAGAACCACGGAGACAATTTATTGCATACATCTCCCAGATGACATTAGAGATTATTTTATGCTTTAGAATCCAGAGTAGACCATAAAATTATCTTTACCATAAAATGACATTCAGACAAGAGTAGCTTAGTATGTCTTAACTGTACTTTTGATTTCACGCCAGAGGTGTTTTTTTTTTTTTTTTTTCCCCCCCCCCCCCCTGCCTGGTCTTCAGTACATTTTATGGGGAAGTATAATGTGCCAGGCTATAAATAATTTCAAAGGGAATTCACTGGAAAGGAATTTCCATCTCTTGTGGGTAACCCATCCTATCGTATTCAGACAGGAAGCTGGCTGTCTCAGCACACGAGCTGCTCAGCTTTGGAGACATAGGGTTAGGGCTTGACTCATCGCATATATGAAAATCAATTTGGCAGTCACTTTGTAACGCCTCATGGACTTTAAGTCCACATCACCAAAACATCACACAGTTTGGCACAACTGAATCTTGATCCTTTGGACCTTACTCAGGTATAATCCCTATTAATTCCAAGTTCTTTGTCTAAATCACTGTTTTTCTGTACTATTAAAGGAGAACTCCACTGGGGAATAGATGAAACAGTGGCTCAGCTAGAAAAAGTTTTGCATTTATACAAGAGTGGCACATACCTACAGAACGCTACACGGATGCTGAAAGCTGGTAAAGTATTCCTTTGACAAATGTAAAGCTATTGGCTCGATCTAGATGGTGAGGTGTGGAGGGGAGCAGAAATAAGGAGAAGAGACCAAAAAGGCTCCTGAAGTCATGGAAATTGAAGTCCACAGCAGGGCTTCCAGGTAGTCAGAGTTCCATGGGTACCACGGAAGGTACTAAGGTGGGTTGTTGATGCCATGGAGAGCAGCCATCAACCATGTCAAACCTATGGGAAATCTGCAGTATAAATTCATGCTGAAAGGTGCATCATGCCCAAAGACTTATCTCCCAATCTGCATTTTGGAACCTCCCTGAGGTGGGAGTTTGGGGCAGGCCAAAGCAGGGAGCCCATGAAGAGGGAACCAATTTATCTCCATGCTAATATCCTAGCTCTACATGGATATCCTAAAATTCATGGGATTTCCTTGCAGATATTGCAGCTGCTGCAGGTTAGAAGCATTAAGCCTCCTATCTGCTCTGCGGGGGAAAATCCCTGCAGCTTGCAGAAGTGATACGGTAACAAAACTGCATAAATTGACAAAGAAATTGCATAAAGCTTACATGCTAAGGTTTTTCTTTTACATCTTAACAAAAATCTCTTGTATAGCACCATAAATGTATACAGTGCTTTTCAAACATACGCTGTAGAGAGGGATACATATTCTACCTCGAAGAACACATTACAGATTGTAACATTTGAAAGAAGGTAATAGGTAAATGTTCTTGTTTAGCCACACCACCAAAAAAAGATGCTGGGCAGAATTTATCTTTTTGTAGGTGCAATATCCATGTCAGACTTTGAGCTGCTGGGAGGGTGATAGGAAAATATGATGGTTTTGCTGCACATGCATAGCAGAGAGAAAGAGATGGGTGATAAATGAAGATGGATTTAGGGTAAAGGATTTGAAAAGTTCAGTAAAGCATTTCCCTTGTGACAGACTCATGAGTCAAATGTATTCCTGGTGTAACTCTGCTGACTTTAGTGGACTCTGACCCCAGGGATGAATTTGGCCCACTAATCACAAATAATTCAATATTTATTTTGTTGTAAAATTGGCAAGAAAATTGTTACAGGTGTTCATTTAACTTTCTAATGTTCAGATTTTCATCACAGTCTTTGCTGAGTGATACCTGTCAACACAGTCAAATCATTCTCAGCAGCACAATCAACAGTACAAACACATCCTTTGTTGAGGAAGTGCCAGGAAGGTTGAGGTTTTTCTGTGATGCTGGCTAATTCCAGATTTAGCTGCCATGTCAGGACAAGATGAGGTTTTGAATTTTAAAGGCTGTCCTGCTTATAAAGAATTGCCGGGAGAAAACCCAAGACAGCAATGCTAGATGTAACAGTGCAAGCCTTCACTGATATGGAGCAGATCTGCACTCACATTAGGCTTCTGTATTTCATATGTGGTTTAGTTATGTATAATCCTGAATAACTGTGGCTCAGATTCTGCTACCCTTACTCAAGTTGGCTAGTGCCTTTGTTTGCAAGCAGTCCCATTAACTTTTACGAAACTGCTCAGGATGCAAAGTGCTACTCAACATGAGTAAAGGGTATAGACATTGCCCTGTGTAACTGCACATAGAGCATGTGAGTACAGTTTTATGAAATTCTAATAAAATTCTAATTTAACGTAACATTAAGGTTCTTTAAATTATTTTATGTGAGGATTCAGCCAATGGCAATCAAGAGAAATCAAATATCCTCACAGAAATTACACTGAAACAAGACTTGTTGACTTATGGGTAAATTTTCATACTTATATACCATATCTTCAGAATGCATGGGCCTGTTTCTCATTTGCACTAAGGCCATTTTACACCACTACAGTCATGTAAAAGGACCTTAAAGTGGGTGTGTATATATAATGTATTCATATTTTAAGGCCCCTTTATCCTATGGTGACCAGATAGCGAGGATGAAAAATCGGGACACTTTTTTGGGGGTAGGGGGAGTATAATTGCGTATACAAGAAAAAGGCCCTCATATTGGGATGTTGGGTAACCCTACTTTATCCTCCCAGAGGCCCCAGTGCAAATGAGTGTAATCAGGCCCCATGTGTCCATGCATATCCTTCCTTCTCCACACAGGCTCTTCTCTCGCAAGATTTCACTTTTAGCACATGATGACTCACTTTTTTTAAAACTCTCAATCCAAAGATGATTTACCAATGGTGAAATTCTCCTCATGGTGCAGTGGCGCTGCAAGGCAGGGTGTGGTGGTAGGGGAGGATTGGGTGCTCAGGAGAATAGCCAAATGCTGGTCCAGCACACAAGGCAACACTACTCCCAAGCCATACTGGGACCACAGACTAAGTAGTTTGGGCCACGTAATAACTCTTGCAAGTGGTGGTGGTGGGGGAGAGAGGGGCATGGATACTGTTCCAACCCATCAGTTCAGCAGCCGCAGAGGCAGTAGCAGTCACAAAAGCAGTTACACTCCCATGTTCTGGCCCTGCCTGGGCGGTGGGGGGGAGGGGCGGGGCGGGATTTCACCTCCCTAATCCCTTGCATTTTATGTGGATGAGACAAATTTCACCTTAAAACACCACTGAAAATGTTGTTGTCCGTGGAAAGACAGAGAAACCAGCAGCACTTCACAGGACACTGTATAACTCTCTCCTAAGGCAAGGGGAAAATATTTTTTTAAGTTGTGGCTTGTTAGAAAAAGAACAATCTTGTTCTATAATATAGTGAGAGGGGGAGGAGGCTATTTTGTCAGATGCTGAGCTGATTTAGATTTGGGCTCGGGATTGTGGTTTGGGTTCGAGGCTGAATTGGAACTAGGCTTTGGTTTCAGGTTAAAATGAGGCAAGTTGCAGTGGGGGAGGTTTAGGTTGGATATTAGGAAAAACTTTTTCACTAGGAGGGTGGTGAAGCACTGGAATGGGTTACCTAGGAAGTGGTGGAATCTCCATCCTTAGAGGTTTTTAAGGTCAGGCTTGACAAAGCCCTGGCTGGGATGATTTAGTTGGGAATTGGTCCTGCTTTGAGCAGGGGGTTGGACTAGATGACCTCCTGAGGTCCCTTCCAACCCTGATATTCTATGAAAAGCTTACAAGGTTGTTCTCATTAGATTTCGGTTTAAATGGTGGAAATATCATCAGGTGACCTGGTCTCACAAGATTTCCACCATCTTGAATAATGGAAATCTCAAGAAATTAACGGCTCATGTGACGTTACCTCCATTTTGGGCTGCAGTCTCACCAAATAACTGTTACCAACAGATTCCTGCTGCATCTGAAAGAGACCTAGAAAATAAGCCTGTTCTGGTATAGAATTTATACTGAAACCAAAGCCACAATAGTAGGTTCAGATCCAGGAACTGCAAGCAATCTCTCTTTTTAAAAAAAGGAACATTAGAAGGTTCAACTCATGGTGCCTTATAATTTGATTTAGATCTAGAAACTCAGAGTTATCCATTGTCTTTAATAGAGAGTTGTAAATCCTTACAAGAAGTGATGGTGATCTCTGAAAATGGACTTAAGGAAAAAGCTGAAATCTGACCTTTCATGAAACAGATTTCTCTATCTGAGCCTATGTTTTTGCAAGGAAACCCTTTTCAAGTGAGAAAGGTGATATTGACCATCAGTAGGAAAGTGACACTAGGAAAGTTCTTGTCAATCTGAGTCTGCCCATAAATTAAATTTAACAACGTGAACCATGGTCATGTCACAGAAGGACTTAGGTCTTAAGCTTTCACTGTGTTTCAGCTGTAAAACATTTTACAGTGTTGTAAATTCTATTATACTCTGGACTTTGCTTCTAAATTACTGAAGCAAAACAGAGAAGGGGTGGGGTCAGAAGTCCTTCAGTAGCCATGTAAGTTTTTTGTAATTGTAAATAACACAAAATTGTTATACAGGTGCTACACTGTTTGGAATGACACTGTGTTCGAATGCTTTTATCTGTAATGAGATATTAGTCTCTTCTTCTTCGAACATTGAACAACGTAGATCATACATTTCCTTTTGAAATTATTTTTCTAAAAATGATAGTAGCATTGCTATAACTGCAAGAATACTATACTATACAAACCCATTGGATTTCATGGGTGAAATTCCTTCCTCCTTGAAGTCTACAGCAAAACTTCCATTGACTTCAAGAGTGATGCTGATTTACACCAACTCAGGGTCTGGCTCTGGAGTTTTAGTCTAACCTCCCCAACCCAACCTTTCAGTGAATTCAGGAGTTACACAGAAATGTATGAGAGGCACTACAGCTAGTAAATCCTGTAGCTTTGTTATTCATTAAAGAAAATAGGTGACCCATTATTAAGTCTTGAGGGGTGGGTTAGCCAAAAGAAAGGCATAATTAGCAGATATAAAAGCAGTTGTTTGAACCAAGTACATTTACAGGACTCAAGAGACAGAATGCCAGGGAGTAAGGTAAAAGAAATTCCCTGTTTTCCTTTGTCCTTTGACATTTTGGCAGGGTTGCGCTGTATGTAAATATTTACAGTGCAATAATGTTTCTTAAAAAATACTATAGCAACCTGCTTGAGAAATTATAAATCTGCTCAAGAAATGTTAACGGTGTGTGTGTGTGTGTGTGTGTGTGTGTGTGAGAGAGAGAGAGAAACTTTGGAGGGTGAGAACAGATTATATTCAGGCAGTTTTTATATGCCATATTAGGTTGAGCTACAAAAGACAATAAGCACTTTCTTGAAGATACTTAAAAACACACATGTTACAGATGGGACTACATTACAAACAATTCCCTACAAATAGTCTCACAGATTCTAAAATGAATTAGTTTTGGCCAGGATTGTGCTCCTGTTGTGTCCTTTTGCACAACCATATAGGTCCAGATTGTATGAGGCCTTTTACTGAGGCCCTGGCCGACACTAGAGGGGGGGAATCGATCTAAGTTTTGCAACTTCAGCTATGTGAATAACACAGCTGAAGTGGACGTACTTAGATCTACTTACTGCGGTGTCTTCACTGTGGTAGGTCGACTGCTACCACTCCCCCGTTGACTCCGCCTACGCTTCTCGCTCCGGT